AAGGCGAGCAGCGCGGAAGCCACGGGCCTCGACCTCCCCACCGGCACTCGCATCACTGCTTCCGCCCCCGTCCGCCCCCTCCTAAAGCGCAGGTGCGGAGCGACTCCGCCCCTCGGGTCAATGATTGGCTCGAGAGAGGAAAGGGGGCGGGCCAACAACCAGATTGCTTGACTTGCGCAGTTTCCACTACACGCGACGGTCTCTGCAGCGCCCCCTGGCGTTTCAATGAAGAAAAACCCAAGGCGGCATTGGCCACGCTCCGGTAAAGGACTAACGAGAGATTTTTATTTTGTGGTTTTTTTTGAGACAGGGTCTCACTGTGCAGTTTACGCTGGCCTTGAACTCACTATATAGCCCAGGCTGGCCTCGAACTCTCAGCGATCTCCCTGCCTCAGCCTCCTAAGTGTTGGTATTATAGACGTGTGCCATCAAGCCCCACCACAATGGACTTTTCAGCAATGTATTGATGAGAAAAGCACAGAGGTAGGCAGACCAGGTTGGAGGGGTGTTGTTACAGTACTAGCAGGAATAATGAGGTAGAGCAGGGGTGGGAAGAAGCATCATGAGAGGAGAGCAGAGGGAAAGTTGGGCACTGAAAGATCAGGTGTAATCATTTTGCCTACTATTTATTGAGGTCGCTTTGGTTTCTCTTTTTCTGTTGCTTTTTTTTTTTTGGTACCGGGAATTGAACTCCGGTCGGTGTGTTTGCGAGGCAGGAAGTGGAACTACTGAGCTAAATCCCTGGCCCTTGAGGTCGCTTTGGGAATGGAGGCATTTCAGAGTGCAACATTTGCAGGGTGTAGTGGTGCACTCCTGTAATCCCAGCACGTGGGAGGCTGAGGTAGGTAGATCACCGAGAGTTCGAGGCCAGCCTGGGCTACATGGCGAGACCTTGACTCAAACAAAAAAACAAAGACAAAAAAGGAATGTACCCCTCTCACTAGAGGGGCCAGAGTGCAGGTCAGTGGTAGAGGCTCCCACAGGCTGTGCGTGTGCAGTCAGGACTACTCCTCACATGCAAGTCACAAGACACATGACCACGCACGGTGCAGTGACTGGGAACAGCTGCTTGTTAGAGCTGCAAAGAAGCTTGGAAAGTTTGGACGCCTTCTTCCCCACCCCTCCCATTTTACAAGGGAGGAAACTGGAGCCCAAGAAGGGATCGTGCAGCCGGTTTGGGCCAAAGTGGGATCAGAACGAAACTTTGGCAGCTGTGGGATCAGTGCCTTTCTCTCCCTACTCCTGTGTCGCTCCAGGGAGAAGGCAGGGCCAGTGTGACATAGCTAAACACTTCCTCCTGCAGTGATCAGGAAATAAGGGCTTTGCACTTGTGATTGATGGAATTAAGATGCTGCTGCACTAGATTAGAGTGGGCCTAAATCCTTTGGCAGGCATGCATTGAAGGAATGCATTTTCTGTCTTTATAAGCCACCCAGTTAGTGGAAATTTATTACAGGAAATACAAAGTCATAACTGAAATATGTTAGAAAGTTGCAGCCATCAGGCAGGAGGATCACAAGTTTGAAGCTGGTATGGGCAATTTAGCGACTTAGCAAGACCCTGTCTTAAAATGAAAACATACAGAGGGCTTTTTTTTTTCTGTTTATTGTGTTTATT